GAGCAGGGAGCCCGATGCGGGGCTCGATCCCAGGACCCTGGGATCACGACCCGAGCTTAAGGCAGCCGCTTAACCGACTGAGCCACCCAGGCATCCCAATTATTTTCTTTCGAAGGATCTGCCAAAAGAAGAAAAATTGTATTTTCAAATAAAGAATCAAATCAGGAAAAGTGGATTCCTAAGAAGGCCACACCAAAAGCTTTGTTGGGAACAACTCACAAGAAAACGAGTACCCTGGGGTTAAAGTGATGTCCTAGCGTGTGGACGAGAACAGCAGCTTTGGAAAGAAGATCATGAGCTTAATTCCATCTGTACCAGTCGGAGTTCTCCAGGGAAACAGAACTGGTGTGATATGTATAGATACAAAGAGATTTTCTGTGGGAATTGGCCCACACAATCATAGAGGCTGAGGAGCCCCATAATCTGTCCCATGCAAGCTGGAGGCCAAGGGAAGCTGGTGGTGCCGTTCCAATCCAAGCCTGAAGGCCCAAGAACCAGGAGCTCTGAGGTCCAAGAATAGGAAAAGACAGATGTCATAGCTCAAGCAAAGAACACATTCACCCTTCCCCTGTCTTTTGTTTTATTCAGGCTCTCAATGGATTGGATGATCCCCACTCACATTGGTGGGGGTGATCTACTTTATTTCTTCACCGATTTGAAAGCTCATCTCTTCCTGAAACATCCTCATGGATACGTCCAGAAATAACATTTTACCGGCTATCTGGGCATCCCTCAGCCCACTGAAGCTGACATATAAACTTGAGCATCACCCTGTCTAGAACACCCACTACTGTTTGAAAGTATACTCAGTCCAGCCTAGTAGTGTATTCACCAGAAACTCGGACAGGTAGCCTCAAGCCTCGGGTACATAGTTACATAGGCTGACGATAAGGTGGATGGCTTTACTTTTATGCAGCTCTCTAGATTGTAAGCATTTGAAACAATGACCCTCGACTTCAGGGTCCTCCTAAAGGATTCTCCTCTCCTGACCTCTAGAACATCATTTGTAGACAGATACTGAACTCAAAATGTTAAAAATACAACTATCGTGTTCCCTCCTCTCCTGGGTTCTTGATCTGGCATGGCTGGCCACAGACCTCGAGGTCGCCCTTGATTCCTTCCCCTTCCTCATGCCCAGACTGTTCACGCCGAAGTTGTCAATGACTTTTCTGTCAAGTCATCCATTGTCCCTGCCATCACACCTCCCTTAGAGCCTTCCTGTCTTCCCTAATGTGCTATCCACACACACCACAATGATCTTCCTGAGTACAAATGTCATTTCCCTGCTCAAAAACTCTTCAAGTTTCCCTTTTCCCACAGAATCAAGACCACACTCCTCAGCAGAACAGAGACTCCAATCTGGCCTGACTTCTGTTCTCTTACCCTCTCTATTCTACTCCTCAGTGCACAGGCCACAGCCGAATACCTGCTCTTTCAGGAACATAGGAAATTCTGCTCATTTGCTCACAACATTCCTTCAGCCTCAAATGTCCTTATTTCATTGTCTACTGTGTGCCAGGCAGTTTCAAGTGCTGTCTAAACAAGATAGACAATGTGGTGCCTGGCTGGCTCAGTAAGTAGAACATGTTACTCTTGACTTAGGGGTCATGAGTTTGAGCCCCAAGTTGGGGGTAGAGTTTACTTAAAAAAAAAGAAAAGATGGACAAGGTCCCAGTTCTCACAGAGCCTACATGTCCTACTTATCTCCAAGTCCAGCTCAAATCTATACCTTTCTGGAAGTTCTCTCCAATTGCATACATGAAAATTTGCTTTTTTTTTTTTCCCCAAACAAATTTTTTTAAATAAGCTCTACACCCTATATGGGACTAGCACTCACAACCCTGAGATCAAGAGTCACACGCTTGGGGCACCTGGGTGGCTTGGTTGGTTGAGCGTCTGACTTTGTTTCAGCTCAGGTCATGATCTCAGGGTTGTGAGATCCAGCCCCACATCGGGCTCCCCCGCTCAGCAGGGAGTGTGCTTGAGATTTTCTCTCTCCCTTTCTCTCTGCCCCTCCCACTCGTGCTACCTCTCTTTCTCTCTCTCAAATAAATAAATCTTAAAAAAAAAAAAGCAAAAACAGAGTCGCACACTCTACCAACTGAGCCAGCAAGGTGCCCCTCAATTCTTCTTTTATGCTTCTCCCAGAGTATTGAGCATTCTTGTGCAACATTTGTGTATAGATATGTCTTCCAGCCTGGATGATAAACTTCTGGGGGGCAGAAACAGGCAGTGATTATGTTTGCACTATACAAGGGCTTACACAGTGCCTCCCACATGGAAGAGACTGTTTCTTGAATTACACCGAGTCTATTGCAATCTGCTTCCATTTATACTTTAAACACAAACACAAACACACACGCACACAAAACAAGCTTGTGGAGCTTTGCCTATTTTAAAAGAAATGTGAATACTTTCCTTGGAGGGAGATATAGATTAAAAATTGCAGTAGACTTTAAAAAACTTACCCACATTATTATAACCTGGAATTAGGTTGTAGTCCTTTTGAGCACCTTGTGTTAATGGTTCTATACCATTCCTAAAGTGGTGACCTAGAGGATATGAGCTTCTAGAGGGCAGACTCCAAACTCACTTAGTCACCAGTGAGCAAAAAGCTTCCACCCTGGGCCCAAAGTCTCATTTCTGTGAATGTCAGAGAGCTGCCCACCAGTCAACCTCTAAGGGGCCCATGGAGACTGACAATGAACACTCATGCCAAAGGCAAAAGAGCACCCCTACAAAAATAATCTGGGAACAGCTCTACTGGCCTCATCCAATAGAGGATTGATTTAGGAGTGATATCAACATGATTTACCCTTTTAAAAATAAGGACTGAAAAATGACAAATTTAAAAATCTGACATGCATTAAAAAAAAAAGGGACTGTCCTTCAGACTAAAGGGATTTATGCAACCTACGATCTTGAATTGGACCTGGTTTGGACAAATCAAATGTAAAGAACATCTTGGAATACTTAGGAATTTTGTCTGTGGACCGGGTACTAGATGATGTTAAGGGATCATTCATTTTTGTTGGGTGAAGAATACAGAAAAAATGTATTTTGTTAAGAGATGGAAACTGAAGTTTGGCATGGGTAGAATATTATGATGTCTATTATTTTCTTTAAAATATTTCAGTATAAAAGAAGTGAATCAGAAACCCAACCAAACAGTTACTAAAAGAAAATGACATTTCAGACAGTACTTTCTAGCCTTTCTGGCCCTATTATCTGTGGGCAGTCTTATTTAGATGGGACGGGTCAGGGTCCATCTTCTCTACCACAGACACTGATGCTCCCCACCAGCAGTCAAGGGGCCTTGGGGAGCCCCACTCAGGGGAGCCGTGTACAGAAGGCACATGGAGAGGGGTCTCTCCTCAAGGACCTTCCTCCCTTATTAGAGCCTCTCATTCTGTTACTGCCGAAGTGAACATTATCAGCCTGCCATTCATTACAACACACTGGGAGATCTCCTGGTGACATAACGAACACCCTCTGGTTCACAAATACCTCTTTGGGGGACGCCTGGGTGGCTCAGTCAGTTAAACGTCTGACTCTTGATTTCGGCTCAGGTCATGATCTTAGGGTCGTGAGATCGATCCCCACATAGGACTACGTCCGTGGTCAGCGTGTGGTCTGCTTGAGATTCTCTCTCCCCTTCCCCCACCTCCAAAAAAAGAAAAAAAAGAAATACCTCTTCGACTAGAATCACAAGTAAATTAATAAATGTCAGGCTTTGCAGCCAATCTGCAAACTGAAATTTAGATTTTGTTTAGTGCTCTGCTCAAGTTTTCTCAGTGTCTGCCTTGTTTGTATCAGCCCAGGAGGCAAGAAGGAGCAGTTCTCCAGCAGTAAGAAATTTAACAAATATTTTATTAATACACGCTGTCATATTCCCGGGACGTAAGAGTCCTCAAAACACTGCCCTGTACTGAAAGAGAGTAAAAGTGCTCAAGTCCTTGGTCTTCCATCTGTTTGAGTAACGTCACACTCCTTTAACAGAAGCAGGCTTGCTGTACTTCACCTGCCCACACCCCGCCTGGAGACAGGCTCCCCCTCAGTCCGACGCAGACAGTGACATTCACTGCCTTTTGCAAGGACAGGGGCTCCTTGTGATTAAACCAGAATGGAGAAAAACTTAGCATCCGCTGACCAAAAAGGAATTCAGACTTTATTTCTCAAAGTCCTTCATTCTGCTTCTCTCCAGGAAGGGCTGGAAAATCTTCAGGAGGAGCATAAAGATTCCCACTGCCGGAATATTCGGAATACCTTCCTTGATTTCTCAGACAGACTCTATAGGTAGAAAAGCTCATTATTAGAGATTAAATTCTTTTATAAAGACGAAGGGTGGGGTAACAGCTTTAAGGCTTGGTCTGTGGATTTCTCCCACAGTGATTAGATAGGTCTAGGACTGAGAAAAACAAGCTAACTTTATATATATATATATATTTAAAGATTTTATTTATTTATTTGCGAGAGAGAATGAGAGACAGAGAGCACGAGAGGGAGGAGGGTCAGAGGGAGAAGCAGACCCCCTGCTGAGCAGGGAGCCCGATGCGGGACTCGATCCCGGGACTCCAGGATCATGACCCGAGCCGAAGGCAGTCGCTTAACCGACTGAGCCACCCAGGCGCCCCAAGCTAACTTTATATTATTACTTTCTATTGTATACATCATATACACCTAAAACCGGACTAAAAATCAAGACGCCCGCGTTCTACAGCTACATGACCGCTAACGCACTCTGAGCCTGTCACCCGTGGCTCGTGTCCTCCCCCAAGTATCTGCGTCTGTCCTAATCTGTGTGTGTGAGGTGGACACTTGGGACCCACCATTAGTGCAGCACACGTGTTGCATTGGTTTCCACTGGTGATGCTGAACTGGCCCCAGTGCATTATTTCTTGTGAACAAGGATTCACATTCACGTGATGCCTCGCCGGGGTTAACAATATAACCCACGACCAAGGGGTGAAACAAAGTTAAATGATGACCCTGGCCTTCTCAGCTTCATTTATAGCCAGAAGAGCTAATAATAGGAAGACTCTCACTGCCACTTGGTCGTGCCTATGAAGTGATCTGAGATTCTGAGAAATGGTGTGACAGGGAGACAAAGCAATTCACTAAAAGATAAAAGTTCTCAGAGAATCAGAACACTTGGTTCTCTCTGTGAGAGTCACGGTGAAGAGCACAGGGTCTCAGTGAGAATATAAATAATCACCGAGCAAGATAATCCATAAAGTTACCTCCACTTTCGGACATCAGAAGACATTTTCACTGTCTTCTTACCCTCTTTGTGGATGAGTGTCTCAATAAAATAAAAGTCTGGGGGCGGGGGTGGGGAGACTCTGAGCTCTTACTAATGATAGAGGGCAATTCAGTGAATAGAGTGACAAAGTTAAAAGAAACTCTGGTTGAAAAAAATAACAAACTTTTTTCTAACATCAAGATCCTTTATCCAGCCTCATTAAGCTCTGACTTCCCAGTCATAGCAGCTGTGGGAAGGTTAAGACAAACCACTAAAAAGGACCTCAAAAGTCCTGGAACCCAGGGCCAATTAGGAGGCCAACTTCTCCCACTACAAAAACAAAAACAAAACAAAACAAAAAAACCACCAAAACAAAACACCCCACAAGAACCCTGGTGGGATTTCTTGTTAGTAAGACAGTGACAGAGGGCAGTCAGTAAGACTCTATTTCAGGGAGATCTGGGCAGAGAATATAGGTGGAGACATTTGTCCTCAGATAGCTTTACATATTTTCAAAAGTTTTTAAATTGGAAAAATGAGGATTTTTTTTTCCTGTGGAAAAACTTGAGAAGCCTTCCTTCATTTGCGTTGTTTACTAAGGGTACATACAAATGTACATTCCTGGGCTTTTAGCAACGCTACGGTTCTCTCCAGCAGAATCCCACAAACCTGGGAGCGCTTCTTGTAAACATCAACTGGAGAGTATTATTTTACTTTGTCCTTGGAGGGCACGGGGGTCAGACGTTATTCTATTCATGAAATGCTGTAAGGCAGATTTGGGAAGAAGCCAGCAAAGGAAAGAGAACCCAGTTTCCATGATTCCTTATTGCCCACCCTCCTCTCACTTCCCCCCTTTACACAGAGTAAACACTTGTTTTCTCAGCTGTCACAGTGGACTTGCATCTACCCACACTTTGCAAGCAGTGGAGATCATGACTGCAACGGCTAGCCGAGGCTCAGTGCCCAAGCCTGGGGCTGTGGAACAGAGCAAAGTAACGTGCCCACCGTGCGGAATGAAACTGTCGTCCGGGGGTCAGAGTACAGGGCTCCAGACAGCTAAGTTAACTGGCCAGGCTCCAAATGCAAGTGACAGCAACTGACAGAAAAAGCAGCTGTTCTGCAACATGGGGCCGGAGCAGCTGCCTCCCCTCTCTTTCTGTTTTGGTACTCCTTCTCTACTTTGAGTCATTTTAGTTAAGATGACAAAGAATTTACCAGAATTTGAGGAAAGGCCAAATGCTAAGCAACTGCAGGAAGACTGAATTAGTTCCACGCCGATTCTCTGGGACGAAACCTGACTCTGTCTAACTTGACTTCCGAGCGCTGAGGGCAGGCTGGGTGCTAATTACAGGACCCGCCCCTGCTCCTCATCCCATGAACAGCAAGGGCCGCACCCCGCAGGCAGCGGCTTCTCTCACCGTGTGGTCTGTTTCGGCCGGCTGGCTGGACTGCTTGTGGGCCAAGAGGATGTTCAGCACGGCCTTCCAGCCTGGCTCTGCGGGGCCCCTGGTGTCTACCTCCGTTCCACCATGCTCCCCGGTTTCCTTGCCAAGTGGGACATTTACCCAAGGGCACCAGTCTCTATGCTGAGAGGCAGGGTCAAAGAAGCTTCGGGAAGATGTGTCCTGAGAGGGGGAAGAGAAATAGTGCTGATGAAGGGCGGGTGCCACGTCAATTCAGGGAGGCACCGCTAGGAGCTGTCCCAACCAGAATCTCACAAGTGCCCACATTTCCAGTCTGACGTTCTCCTTTAAACACTGTCTACGTCATGCCCACTCTCTTTATAAATACTTTCATTCCCTTCGTGTTAAACCAACAGTACCTGATCAGGTCGGTCCCCCTGATCTCACTGCCATCCTCATGGGCCTGAAATATTTACTAGCTCTCCAGAATCCATTGCAAAGATATGGCACCCAACTGTCCCATCCTGAAATTTACTGACATTATCTACTTAGAGTCACAGGGCCCGGGAAGGGCTCATGCCCACTTCCCCGGGCTACACGGTGAGGGCCTGGCGTGCTGTGCTGCCTGTTGCGCTCAGGGGCTTCTATACACAGGTGGACTCACCGAGCTGCTGGAAGAGCAGAGGCGAGCTCGTTTGGCTCTCCGGAGAGGGCTAGACGGCACCTCCAGGCCAGTGCCGTCTCCTGTCCCCATACTCCGGGTCACGGGCCGAGTTCTGGTCGTGGGGCTAGCAGCCTCTGGCTCAGAACGGTCAACGGGACTGGAAGAGTCCCAGCTCCGAGTTCGGGAGACAATGGGACCTGGGCTCCTTTCAGCCTGAAGGAAAGAAGAGGTAACAGAAGTACACCAATGACATAAAGGACAATGGTCAGAAGAAAGTTTTCTAGAAGCAGGTGAAAGCTAATGCTTTACAGTTTAAACTGTAAACTGAATTTACTTTCTGAACCATCGACAAAACTAAACTCTTGAAAAAAATAATAGATTTTTATACCCAATCACGAATATAGCTTCTGCATTGCAACTGGCGAATAAAAACAATGCGGTATATCTGGTCAATGTGGTCAGAAGTGAAGCTTACCCACCTAAGGTCATCTCCAACTTTTCCACCACAACACTTTTGGCAAGAATGCTGCTTTTTAAAAAGGCCACCCCAAGCAAGCCAATTAAGTCCATACCTGCTCTGAGCCAGGGGAACATGTAGCATCCTGGCTCCGGGTCATCATCCTCCGAGGAGACTCAGGCACAAGAGGGAAGCGCTCTGGCTTCCCCTCAGCGCCTGGGATGGGGGAGCTGGTCAGGCCAAAGGATGCATCCAGGTCCGTCAGGGATGACTCAATCTGCTGGAAGCCCCAGAGCCCCACTTTCCTCATACACTGTGAACAGGTTATCAGGGAGAGCTGCATGGGTTCCAAAGAAGAACTAGGCAGGAACAGAAAAGAAAGTTTCCTCAAAGGGTAACATTTCCAAGGGACTAAGTGTAATCATTCATGAGAACGCTTTATCTCATCAAACAAATCTTTGGAACAGTCCAGTGGACTGGGAATGTCATCTCAGGCCCCCAGCTCCATCATCTCTCACAAAGTTCCTATAGAAAGATCTAAGGGTCTTGGTGTAACCTCTAAGGCAAGACTATCTTCAGGGTTATGTTTTATAAATTTCTCCTATTCCTTTTGAAACTTTTTCCTTTTCAATGAAAAATATTCCTTAATCTATCAAAGAGAGTATATTTAAAGTAAATCTAGATTGGTTCCAACAGTTTTCTTTCTTTTTTTTAAGATTTTATTTTTAGGGGTGCCTGGGTGGCTCAGTCGTTGGGCGTCGGCCTTTGGCTCGGGTCATGGTCCCAGGGTCCTAGGATCGAGCCCCGCATTGGGATCCCTGCTTGGTGGGAGGCCTGCTTCTCCCTCTCCCACTTCCCCTGCTTGTGTTCCCTCTCTTGCTGTGTCTGTCTCTGTCAAATAAATAAATAAACTCTAAAAAAAAAAAAAAGATTTTATTTTTAAGTAATCTCTACATCCAGCGGGGGGCTTGAACTCACAACCCTGAGATAAGAGTCAGTGCTCCACCGACTGAACCAGCCAGGTGCCCCCGTTCCAACAGTTTTCTATCTCAGAGGGAGTCTATGCCAAATTGAGCAGCTAGAATGGAAACACCAACATGGGGGCCTGAGGACTCCAGCTGGCGTTTCCTTTGGTAGTTTTTATGAATTCAATGGATTTTTCTTCCTTTCTATAAACAGAAAGGAGCTTCACTGTTTCCAAGAGCACAGATTCTCAGCTGGGAAGAGATAGTAAAAAAACAAAAAACAAAGTTCAGGTGTGTCTAAGAATTCCTGAGTTCGAATTCTGCTTTTGTTAGTGATTCTTACCAGCCGCTTGCCACTCCCTCAGGTTTTGTCTGTTTTTCTGACAGGAAACACCATGAGATCTCCAATCCTATTAGTGACTGATGTATACCAGTGTATGATGTTGTAAGAGTTCACGTCCCCCTGCAAATTCACTGACTAACCTGCACGCCCAGCCGCACAGAGAGAGAACACAGGCAGTGACGTGGACTTGGATGTCTGAGCCTAATTTGCTTGCAGTTTTTCTCTCATCAGTTCGGTGATCAAGTTCATCTTCAAGCAGGTGCAGAAGAAGACTGATCTTGTCTTCTGTCAAGCACTACAAAGGAACCAAGGTCACAGACTGAAATTTCCAACCACAAAAATCACATATGAGGATGTATCTGGAGGGTACAAGCCAAAAATCATGAAAGAAATCCCAAACGTGAAGACAATTCTCTTCATTATGGAAGGCTCACTTCTAGGACAGGGCTAAGGTTTTTGACAGAAGCTTTCTGAAATACCCTGCATCTGCTGATTGAGAAAGGTAGCAGTTTTCCTAGAACTACCAAATCTTTTCTTAGTTCTACTTTGTTTTCAATTTACCAATGCAGATTTTCTCTGAAACCTGCAAACTTCAAAACCCAAGTGGTGACAACAGATTACTATTTATATCTTAACCTGACACTGAATTTACTTCTTGACAGAACAAGAGAGCTTGCCAAGGTCTTTATTTTTGTTCTAAGAATAATAAAGAGCTGACAAGATGAACAAAAAAGCTGCCTTGGCTAGCGACAAGGGACATTTATAATAGGCACAGAGTTGGGGTGCCTGGGTAGCACAGTTGGTTGAGTGTCTGACTCTTGGTTTTGGCTTGGGGCATGATCTTGGGGTCATGAAATCGAGCCCTATGTTGGACTCTGTGCTTAGCATGGAGTCTGCTTGGGAATCTCTCTCTCCTTCTCCCTCTGCCCCTCCCCTCATGCTCTCTTTCTAAAATAAATAAATAATCTTAAACAAATAAATGAAAAATAATACAGGCACAGAAGTTAAACTTTGGTTAAAATCCAAACAGCCTCTCAACTTGAAGAAACAAAATAATAGCTCCTATTTCCTACAGTAAAGCTTGTCTTTGGAGTGTCTACAGGGTGATGAAATGGGACACTAGATATTCAGTTTCCAAGTACAGATATTCAGTTTCAAAGTGCAAAGTACTAGATATTCAGTTTCAGAGCATTTCTAATATCTATTCACAGGGGAGAAGGGAGTTTCTAACTTCTCCTGTAGTATTTTCTTTGGGAAATGATATGCAATAAACCATATGAAGTCACATTTCAGGATCTTCTATTAAATAGTTTAAGTAACAAATCAAGATAAAATTGAATGTGTGCCACTTAAAGATTTATTTATTTATTTGAGAGAGAGAATGAGAGAGAGAGAGAGCGCACATGAGAGGGAGGAAGGTCAGAGGGAGAAGCAGACTCCCTGCTGAGCAGGGAGCCCGATGCGGGACTCGATCCCGGGACTCCAGGATCATGACCTGAGCCGAAGGCAGTCGCTCAACCAACTGAGCCACCCAGGCACCCTGAATGTGTGCCATTTAAAGAATCCTATCTAGAAGTTTCAATGGAACCCATTTACTTAAACTCTCAATAGCTGCCCTTCTGGTGGAGATTAGAAAAGGTCAGTTGAGGGACAAACAACTAGTTCTCTTCATAGCAATCTGAATCCTCTGTCACTTAAAGAGATGCTTCATATACAAATAGTAGTGACAACTGAAGGCCACTGTAGGCTAGCCAAGAAAAACTCACCATAGTTTTCAAGTCCTCTGGCCTCAGGGAAGGAAGCTGGAGGTCCAAGTGACAAAGGCTTTGAAAACGATCTAGGAATTCACTAACAAGAACAGCAGGTTCATCCAATGGCAACATTCCAAATCGATCTGTGGACAAAGTACACTGGAAGATCATGTGGTGCAAATTGTAAAAAATAAAAGATGTGTGTAAAACAATGGGCGATAAGTACTGATAAAATTGATAAAATATTTGAAGGTATTAAGAATTACTGACTTTTTTTGATGGGGCTGTAATGATATTTTTGTGATAATATTCAAAAAAAGAAGATTCTCAAGAAGGGTTTCTCAGAAGCAGTCAGTCTAAGCTGAATTAGAAGACCAAC